CTCCGCCGCCCGGGCTTCTGGTCCGACAGAATTCTTGCCCGCCTGCGCTCCCGCGGCCCCCGCAGGGCGAGGCGGGCACGCCCAGCGGCAGCCTGCAGGACGGAGGCCCCATGCTGCCCAGCCAGCACGCGCAGTTCGAGTACCCCATCCACAGGCTGGAGAACCGGAGCATGCACCCTTACCCCGAGCCCGTGTTCAACATGCAGCATCCCCCGCCGCAGCAGGCGCCCAACCAGCGGCTGCAGCATTTCGACGCGCCCCCCTACATGAATGTGGCCAAGAGGCCGCGCTTTGACTTCCCCGGCAGCGCGGGAGTGGAGCGCTGCGCTTCGTGGAACGGCAGCATGCACAACGGCGCTCTGGACAACCACCTCTCGCCCTCCGCCTATTCGGGGCTCCCCGGCGAGTTCACGCCGCCCGTCCCTGACAGCTTCCCCTCGGGGCCACCCCTGCAGCACCCGGCCCCGGACCACCAGTCCCTGCAGCAGCAGCAGCAACAGCAGCAGCAGCAGCAGCAGCAGCGCCAAAACGCGGCCCTCATGATCAAGCAGATGGCGTCGCGGAATCAGCAGCAGCGGCTGCGCCAACCCAACCTGGCCCAGCTAGGCCACCCCGGGGACGTAGGCCAGGGTGGCCTGGTGCACGGCGGCCCGGTGGGCGGCTTAGCCCAGCAGAACTTTGAGCGCGAAAGTGGCGGCGCGGGCGCGGGGCGCCTGGCTACCTTCGAGCAGCAAGCGCCGCACTTGGCGCAGGAGAGCGCGTGGTTCCCAGGTCCTCACCCGCCCCCGGGTGACCTGCTGCCCCGCAGGATGGGCGGCTCGGGCCTGCCGGCTGAGTGCGGCCCGCACGACCCCGGGCTGGCGCCACCCCCTCCGCCCGGTGGCTCTGGGGTGCTGTTCCGGGGCCCTCTGCAGGAGCCGCTGAGGATGCCCGGAGAAGGCCACGTGCCCGCGCTGCCCTCCCCTGGCCTGCAGTTCGGGGGCAGCCTGGCGGGCCTGGGCCAACTGCAGTCCCCCGGGGCCGGAGTGGGGCTGCCTAGCGCTTCCTCCGAGCGCC